CACAACAGACCGCCGAATGACGACTTCAATCCAATCAGCCTGCAAAAAATCAACGAGATGGTATACGTGAATATTTACGACCAGTATGCATTCATCCAAGTTAGTATCGTCATCATCATCGTCGTCATCATCATCATCATTGTCATCATCTTCATCTTCATCATCACTATCATCATCATCTTCGTCATCACCATCATCGTCTTCATCATCATCGTCACCATCATCGCCATCATCTTCATCATAATCGTCATCATTATCATCATCATCGTCATCATTATCATCTTCCTCATCATCATCACTGACATTATCATCTTCCTCATCATCATCACTGACATTATCATCTTCCTCATCATCATCACTGACATTATCGTCGTCGTCATCATCATCATCAGTAACATCATCATCGTCACCATCTCGTCAGTTTTTAATCGTAAATGATTCAATCCATTGATTTTTCAATTTTCCATTAGATTTCTTTTTCCAATGTTGCTGTCACGAGGTTGAATTAGCGTAATAATGACAATAATAAAAACAACAACAATAATAATAACAACAATAATAGCAATAACAAAAAGCACGATCATTATCAGGAGGACTCGGACCAGGCGCCGAACACGGTCATCCAGAAGGTGGAGAGGAGGTGGTTGGGAAATTTGACCATCCCCTTTAATACCATCTACAATAACGAAAAGGTCATGGTCATTCATTATTGTTATTATTATTATTCATTATTGTTATTATTATTATTTATTATTGTTATTATTATTACTATCATTATGATTGAAAATAGAAATTTGAACATTTGTATAGCGCAGACGATTCTAGCATTTTTTTTTTTGGAAGGACACCAAATTTTATTTTTGTGTGTGCGTGTGTGTGTTGTGTGTGTGTATGTGTATGCTTGTGTGCTTGTATGTGTGTGTGTGTGAGAGTGCATGTATGTATAAGTGTTTCTTTACTTTTTTTTTCAATTTTTTTATTTTTGAATAAAAAAAAATTCAAATAACTATGACGTAGTTATTTAACATCTGCTACAGCATAGCAACACAACAACAACAACAACAAGAGGGCAAACAATTCAAGCCCCACCCCACCCCCACCCCAACAACCAATCAGATTGACGGAACGTTCAAACTGAACGAACCAATAGTAACGCTAGGCTACATCAAAGAGAGGAACATCGACCACGACATCCAGGCGACATTCATCGACAAAAACGCCTACATTAACCTCCTGGTGACCTTTGAACCCAGATTAACCCCCATGAGTTCAATCTTCGATCGAGTTCGTTGACTTCTCATTGTTTTATTAACATGGTAGATTATTATTATTATTATTATCATTGTT